GTCATCGTCGTCGTCCTGGTCGTGGTCGTCGTCGTGGTCGTGGTCGTGGTTGTGATCGACGTCGTCGTCGTCGTAGACGTCGTCGACATCGTCGTCGTGGTCGTGGTCTTGATCCTAGTCGTCGTCATGGCCGTCGCTGTCAGCGTCGTCGTTGTCGTCGTCGTTAGTCGTCGTCATCGTTGTCGTCGCCGTCGTCGTCGTCAGCGTCAAACTCGTCGTCGTGGTCGTCGTCGTCGTGGTCGCCGTGGTCGTCGTTGTCGTCGCAGTCGTCCCGGTCGTCGTCGTCGTGGTCGACGTCGTCGTCGTGGACGTGATCCTCGTCGTCGTAGGCGTCGACAACGTCGTCGTCGTCGGCGGCGTGGTCGTGGTCGTCGTCGTCATCGTCGCGGTCGTCATCGTCGTTGTGGTCGTGGTCGACGTCGTCGTAATGGTCGTGGTTGTCGTCACCGAAGTCGCGAACCCCGTCGTGGTCGTAGTCGTCGTCGCCGTCATTGTGGTTGTCGTCGTCATCAGCGTCGTCGTAGTCGGCGTCGTCGTCGGCGTGGTCGTGGTCGTCGTCGTGGTCGTCGTGGTCGTCGTCGACGTTGTGGTCATGGTCGAAGCCTTCGTCGTGGTCGTGGTCGTCGTCGTGGTCGTGGTCGTCGTCGTCGGTGGTCGCTGTTAGAGTCCTCGTTGTCGTCAGCGTCGTCGTCGTGGTCGTCAGCGTCGTCGTCGTCCTAGTTCGTCGTAGTCGTCGTCGTGGTCGTGGTGATCGTCGTCGTCGTGGTCGTGGTCGACGTCGTCGTCGTGGTCGTCGTCGATGTCGTGGTCGGTGTCGTCGGCGCCGTCGTCGTCGTAGGCGTCATCGTCGCAGTCATCGTCGTCAGCGCCGTCGTCGTCGTGGTCGTCGTTGTCGACGTCGTCGTGGTCGTCGATGTCGTCGTCGTGGTCGTCGTCGTCGTAGTCGTGGTCGTCGTCATCGTCGTCGTAGTCGTCGTCGTCGTAGTGGTGGTCGTCGTCGTGGAGGCCGTAGTGGTCAGTGGTCGTCGTCGTCGTCGTGGTCGTGGAGGTCGTAGTCGTCGTCCACGTCGACATTGTGGTCGTCGTCGTCGTCCTGGTGGTGGTCGTCGTTATCATCGTCGTCATGGTCGTCGTCGTCGAGGTCGTGGTCGTCGTCGTGGTCGCAGTCGTGGTCGTCGTCGTCGCCGCGGTCATCCCCGTGGTCGTGGTTGGCGTCGTCGTCGTGGTCGCCGTTGCCGTCGTGGTCATGATCCTCGTCGTCGTCGTCATCGCCGTTGTTGTCGTCAACGTCGTCGTTGTCGTCGTCGTGAGTCGTCGTCGTCGCAGTCGTCGTCAGAGTCGTCGTCATCGTCGTCGAAGTCGTCGTCGTCGTGGTCGTCGTCGTCCTGGTCGTGGACGTCGTCGTCGTGGTCGTGGTCGTCGCCGTGGTCGTGGTCGACGTCGTCGTCATGGTCGTCGTCCCCGTCGTGGTCGTGATCCTCGTCGTCGTCGCGGTGGTGGTCGTCGTCGTCGTCGTAGTCGTCGTCGTCTCCGTCGGTGGTCGTCGTGATCGTCGTCGTCGTCGTTGTGGTCGTGGTCGTGGTGATGGTCATCATCGTCGGCTTCGTCGTTGTCGATGTCGCGGTCGTGGTCGTGGTCGTCACCGCCGTCGTCGATAACATCGTCGTGGTCGTGGTCGTCGTCGTCGTCGTGGTCGTGGTCGACGCCGTCGCCGCCGTCGTCATCATGGTCGTCGTCGTCGTAGTTGTGGTCGTTGTCGTGGTGATGGTCGTCATCGTCGGCTTCTTGGTTGTCGATGTCGCGGTCGTGGCCGTGGTCGTCACCGCCGTCGTCGATAACATCGTCGTGGTCGTGGTCGTCGTGGTCGTGGTCGTGGTCGTCGTCGTCGTCGACAGCGACGGCGTCGTCGGTCGTCGCAATCATCAACGTCGTGGTCGTCGTCGTCGAGGTGGTCGTGGTCGTCGTGGTTGCCATCATCGTCATCGTCGTGGTTCTGGTCACCGGTGTCGACGTTGTCGTTGTCGTCGTCGTGGTCGTCGTCGTCGTGGTCGTGGTCGTCATCGTCGTCGTCAACATCGTCGTCGCCGTGGTCGTGGTCGACGTCGTCGTCGTGGTCGTGGTGGTCGTCGTGGTCGTGATCCTCGTCGTCGTCGTGGTCGTCGTGGTCGTCGTTGTCGTCGTCTTCGTGTGCGAGGTCATGCTCGTGGTCGTCGCCGTCGTGGTCGACGTCGACGTTGTGGTCGTCGTCGACGTCGTCGCCGTCGCCGTGGTCGTCGTCGTCGGTGGACGTCGTCCAAGTCGTCGTCGTAGCCAGCGTCGTCTTCGTGGCCCTCGTTATCGTCATCGTCGTCGTGGTCGTCATCATCGTGGTCGTGGTGGTGGTCGTCATCGTCATGGTCGACAATGTCGTCGTGGTCGTGGTCGTGGTCGCGGTCGTCGTCGTCATCGTCGTCGTAGTCGCCGGCATTGTCT